ACTTGAAACAGACTAAATGAAACAGGATTTGAGACTTTCGCAGCGAGTACAATAAATAATATCTTATCGGGCAATCAGCAGCGTTAGCTGGTTACCGTAGTAAACCGGAGACTAAATGAAGCCGGATATCTCGACGTGTTGGTGCTCTCGTGTAATACGTATGTCAGGCGGCCAAGCCACAACATTTGAATGAGATTTGTCAAACGTTTGTCACGTAGAAGTTTTTTATTATTCAGTTCACATTTTTGAGTTCAGTGAGATGTTAAAGGGTTTTTCGATTTGTTTCTAATAGGTATTCGGGATCTATAGCGACGGAAAGAGGAGTTATATTCCATGAACCGTAGTCTGCTGACATTTCGTTGGCATTGCAGCATCCATTTTCATCTCCACGTGGAGATGATCTCCTTTATCTTCAGATGTAAACATATTTTAGGTAAATATAGTGATAGATTCTTTGTTTATTTAATGAAGCCCTGTTGATGGCATACATCACTGTCGTGCAGTACAGAGGGTGTATGAATTAGGAAGGATATGGGTGTGGCCTTGGCCTCTGTAGGCTTGTTCGCAACTAAAAGTTATGAAAATAAGTAGGATTTGAGGTTCTCGCGGCGGTGAGTATTAAGATGGCTGTCTTACATGTTGTAGTGCCGTGTAGTCTGGCAGAAGTCGTCCTGATGACGGAGGTAACAAGGGCCTTTGAAACGTTGGTAAATTTCTACCGGACTGCACGGCGCTACAGTCCAGAAGACAACCAACTTAGTTGTAAAAATGTTCGTATTAAATTTTCCGGCGTGTCTGTCTGTAATAACTCGAGAACGACAAGGGATTTTCACGAAGTTTCGTATTATGGAGTTTTACTAAAATTTGTCTGAACATTCTGATGTTTGTTAAAGTCAGACATCAATAATAGGCATTTTACATGAAGCCCACCTGCGTTTCTGCGCGGAATGGTGCCCGTGTTGACGGCATAACACATGCCGCAACAGTTAATAACGAACTAACAAGACATTCCACTATTGTTATATTTTACCATCGTTACCAAGATATGAACAGCGTTCTTTCAGTACTTTATGTAACAAAATTAAATCCTGGCTAACGCTCCGTATTTATCACACTATGCTTACATTCTATATGTTTTATTTAACGATGCTTCTTGAACTATATGTTATTTGGCATTGAATGAGACGTGACAGTTACGAAGATATTACCAAGCTTTGTTTTGTACCTTTCAACTTGACCTTTGCGCTCATATGTAACAAGCCTACGTATTGTAGGCTATATAATTGCATAGATTGGTACATGTAAGTATGCAATTTTATAAAATTCCTGTGAATTATAAATACATTTCTTACTTACGTTTAATCCGCTTGACAGGCACCCCTATAGCCTTCCTAATTCCCAACTTGTAATTAAACGCCGTTTACAGTGTTTAACCTCAATACAAGCCTTTCCGACGTAACTTGATTCCTATAACCTGTTACCAAACAGTGTTTATAAGATTTACAGACTGCTTAGTTCTCGAAGGCATTTGTTTACTATTTAGGAATTTTATAAAATGGCTGACCTGCAGACATTTCCCGTAAAATGTATTTGATTTTCATACACTAAAGCTTAGCTAAAGTTTCTTTGGACCAGCTGTTTTGTTTCAGCCCACTGTCACGCAGTTTAAAATGTTCATACCGAAATTTATTTATGTTTTATTATGTGATCGTATTTGGACGTAAAGACGAAATGAAAGGAGGGTGTTGCAGCTTAAGTTAATGTACGAACCTGGCACATAATGCGTAGGCTTCGGTATTTAAATGTTAATTTCGCCTATTTAATTCGTGAACCTGCCAAACACAGACGACGGAGAAGTTGCCGCACAATCTAGGCGTTACAGAACTAAATCATATCTTCCTGACGGATTGAGGTCCGCCCAGCGTCATATCCAGTTGCTACTGGAAATTATTTTACTTGGGTGAAATGCCCGGACCGTAATTCTGTCACTAAACTCCAAATAATGTAGACATTAAGAATGCGTGGAGGTACCTTCACGTGCCTGTGCTTAAGAATGGAGCAACTTCACCTTCACCGCGTAAGAAAGCATCCCGCTTTGGTTTACGTCTTGCTCAGTGATCACGTAATTCCGTTAAATAGTGATGCAGTTATCTGTCGTTAATGAAACAGTAAGCTGAGTACGGACAGGAAAACCCTGAGTATAAATTTAAAGTAAACGGACATCTGAATCCCTTATTCCGTTGCCAATGACGTACGCTGCCAGATGGCGACACTGTAGACAAAGATGTCGCTGTGGGCAAGTGCATAACATTCTTGGTAAAGTGCCCGTACAGAATACCGTTTCTGCCAAGCATTGGACTTTCCTGAGGCTACTAAGTTCGTGTTGTTACAGTTTTAATCACTTGATGTTTCCTCTTTTTCTTCTCCTTCCAACAGGACTTTATTCAAACATGCATATTATGAAACTTCAGTTATACCTTTGTGATTTATCTGTAACCACAGAATTTGTGTTTTCGCATCTGCCGTTTATACTCGTTGGTTCCATGGGTTCAAGAGCTCATCTGTATGTGCTATCGTTAGCGTTGCTAAATAAATAATAACAAGATGGGTGAACCATTTAGAAGAAATGAGAATACATATAAATAAATAATAACAAGATGGATGAACCATTTAGAAGAAATGAGAATACACGATGCATGTGTGAAGTGTTATAAACATATGAACTGTTAGGATTAATACGATTAAAACCTATAAGGTATAGTTCTTCGAAACCGTAATAGTCACCACGCCAACAATGATTGCTTTCGTTAAGCATGCGAGAAGAATAATGTAATTGTTCGCGAAACTGGAATGTACATCTTATTTTATGTAGACAGCTGAGTTTTAGTTGCATAGGAACATGGTCCAGTGCATTATCAGATTGTTGGAAATCATGGATTCCGTGAGTAAATTTGCTGATACGTACGATGCAATGAGTATAGACACACTGACGATCATAAAACACTAGCTATTAAGTAAATTACTGGAGAGATTAGTGTCCATTCATAAATCAAGTTGCGTACCAGTAAAAGCTCTGCGTAATTAATTAATTAATTAATTAACCGTTAACATTTCCTGGCATATAGCTTTGCAGTCATGACCTCTTCTGTTACCTACATCTGATCTCACTCCTACATTCTGTCTCTCCTGTCGCGCGACATAGAGACGCCATAAAATAATATGACGGTGCTTGGCCCCGAAAAAAAGATACAGAGATTACTTTTGGTCAGAATCTTTTATCGATGTTTGTTCAACGTTCAGCAAAGCACATACAGGCGAATGCACATTCAATTGCTGCACACAGATATATGTGGTGCATCGATTATTGGTGCTTAACGACACTATATTAGTTTCAGAAATTATATAAGCTGTTGTACTGGCTGTGAAGGTCTTTTAGCTTTGGATGATCACGTACTGTGAAATTGAATGTATTAGGAAGGTTTTTTTTTTACTTGTTTAAAGGCATTATTCCATGACTGAATTGAAGGAACTGAGGAAAACTTCATTCAGGATAGCCGGTGTTCCAGCCGAGGATCGAATTGGGCACTTCTTATGTACAAGTGGGAAGCATTACCAATTCAACCAAATTGCTTGGAGGAGAAAATAGTATATTTTTTTTCAGTCATTGAGGGGTGGTCACATTTGGAGGCTTTAGAGATAAACTGTCCTCACAAAAAGTTTGTTATGGCTTTTTACAGCCCCTTTGTGCAGTGCTAGAAGAGAACATGAAAATAGGCCATGAACACTTCTTTCTGCTTTATCTTTCGTTCATTATTCTTAATCATCCCACTGTTTCTCATTACATGTTGGTACTAATAGTAGCTGAACATGAAATCTGTGTGTAATCCAGTGATAGAAATTTACTTATGATACACACGCATGCACGTAAAAATAGGTCTTGTTGTGTCTGTGCCATGCATTCCAAATCTTGGCAGTAAATAGTAAATGTTCAGTTTCAGAATCTTGTAGCAATCCCTGGTATTCATGGGATAAGAAGCATGGTATGCTTCAAACCTTGGCAAGTTATGGTGGCAAGGAGAAAATCTGTTTCCTTATTAGGAATCAAATCCATGTCCACTCTGTAGCTAGTTACTTTACTAACCTAGCTATCCTGGTTTTCCAACATACACACACACACGTACACATGAATATACATGTGTACACCTCCGTAATGAAGTGGATGGAAATTATGAAGATTTCTGTCTTCTGGGCTGTTGCGCCGTGTAGTCTGGTCGATGTTTACCAACGTTTCAGAGGTCATACTGCCTCCGTCATCAGGGCGATTCTTAGTATGAAGAGTTCTGTCTTCTGGACTGCCTCCGTCATCAGGACGATTCGCCCTGAATACGGAGGCAGTATGACCTCTGAAACGTTGGTAAACATCGACCAGACTACACAGCACAACAACCCAGAAGACAGAAATCTTCACACTCACCGCTGTGAAAACCTCAAATCTTACAATGGAAAGTATCCTAACAACTTGATTATCCACACAGGCGTATGTTGTCTTATGAATTGAAATTGTAATGGTACGTAGCATCAAGAAACGTTTCTTATTAGTGGCTAGATATTGATTGAGCACAGTAAAGTTAGAGCAGAGAATGCAGATATTTAATGGGGTGTGCTGAAAATTTATGTAAAATCTGCATTTATATGTTAAGTTTAAGTAACTGCTCCCTGCCCCAAGAGATAATGGACCCAGCTACATTCCATTGCCAAGAAGAAGATAAACAAAACTTGTTCATACATTTCTGTTTTCAGAATAAAGTTTTTCAACATTGGAAATTTTTATGATTCCATAATATGCATAAATGTAAGTTAGTATAAGTTTAAAGTTTTCTTTGTTATTAATTTTAGACAAAAGTAGATTTTACTCGTTTTACATTAATACGCTTCCCATTTGTTTTCATGGGTTTTATGACTTATAATATGAATTACATGTGTGAAGTTTGTCATTTCAGACTGTCATTATACCTGTCATCCTCATTGTCAAAATTTGGTAAAGCTTGACTGCCGTGGCGAAAATGATGGCGAAACAGGAGGTGCCGCTTTACCAGATCCAGAATTGGAAAGTGTGGAACATGTGGTTCAGCTTGAGGAGATTTCCAATCCAAGTCTAGAACCTTTACTTCAGGAAGTTTCTTCAGAGGTGAATAGTGTCCCGAAATTTTTCAAGAAGGATATTTGGTTTCAGTAAATTCTTACCAGATTCTAAACCATGTCATCTTGGTAGCATAAAGAACCATTGTTTTGAAAACTCTGTTCTCATCTTTAGAGGTAATACATTTGAAATGCGATTTTCATATGTCAAATCATTTAGCGGTATTAGGATCTTAAGTGTTTAGACAGAAAACTTTTTGTTTCCATTAATACTAGAGAGAGAGAAAGTTTGTTTACATCACTGCAAAGAGAATTCATTACCATATTTAAATACCGAATTTTTGTTCCATGAGAATACCACAAAAGAGCCAGCTTTGCTCCTAGCAAACCATCTTAACGTCAACGAGTACTTTATATTCTTTCGTATTGGTGGGAGAAGTTCCCCGTGTTCATGTTTTAATATTTTTAAAAGACTAGTATTTATAACTATAACCACTTCACCACTTTAAAATTAGTTAACTACGTAAACTTGTAAAGTCACTCTTGTGTATTAGCACTGTATCACGGAAGTCTGTCTGTGTGACGCACTAGCATACTGCTGAACAGTTCCCCTTGAAGCTAAAGTTTGGCCTACGGTGTGGGGGATTTAATCCCCTATTCTCATTGGATAAAGGTTAAGGTACAGAAGATAAAACTCCTTGCAGTCACAGGCCTCAAGAGCAATAATTAGGAAGGCCAGCTTCATACCCAGTCCATGGTGAAACAGGTCCCGATTGTTTATTGGGTTTGTATTATATCATTTCAGTTTTAGAGTTTTACTCATCTAAACTATTGGCAATTATTTATTGATTGTTTATGTAGGAGGATTCTGGATTAAACTTGAGAGTTAGCCACGAACATCTACAACATCTAATCACGGAATATAATGCTGCCAACCCTTCAGGTCCTGATATGACATTGGTAAGTAGTATCTGATGTTTGAGCAATATTTAGCATCTATTTCGTAACAGAATTTACGTTTTCATGTCTTTATACTTTTCATTACCTCTAAATATGATGATAATGACTGCAATACATTTTTATCAAAGTCTTCACACCTGTTATCTCACATGTAATGCAGTTTGTTGTTAACACTATGTTTGAGTGAAATGTGTTTAGAATAGTCATTTAGTGAAAGTTTTTAATTCTCCGAAATATTGATTAAACATTATTCGTGTATATTTGTTTGTGTTGAGCAAAAAATTAAACCACATCCTCAGGTTGAGGATGGAGAAAATTACCTCTATATAAGAACATGGCTAAAAATATATTTAATAAACATCCCTCAGGTATTACCGCCCTAATGATCAAATCAAAACTAACTGTTGACAGGATACAATCTAATCGGGACCAACTCCTGACAAAATCCATTCTAAACAAGACCTATCGTACTCTTGGCTAGATTCTATCGAAACGAGACGTAGGTCCTGATATTCTCAAGTCGATATTTAATCGAAACGAACCCCCAACTCTGAACGGGATTCTGTCGAAACAAGACTGACTCTTGGCTGTGTTTAGTCTGATCGAAACTAACTCGCACAAGATCCAGTTTAAATGGGCGCAACTGCTGAAAAGATTCGAAAGTTTCTCTTGACAGGATCAGATTGAAATTGTTAATAACTCCGTACAAGATCCGATCTATTCGAAACTGGTTTTTGATAAGATCTAATTAAAACGGGCCTGGTTCGATACAAGATCTGATCATAACGGTTCGAATTTCGTTGTTGGCACCAGCTGTGACTAGTGGCTTCTTGAGATATTTTTCCTGGTTTTCCAAATGTATACCTCGTAATATAGCTTAATCGCTTTTATTCCAGTCGTTTCCCGTCCAAGTATATAATTATTCTTTCAGCGTAGCCGTTGACGATGTGGTTTGAAAATTAGGAGGTCGAGATCAAATGAAATCAATACAATTGCTGCACGAACAGTGGTACATGCTTGCAGAAAACCTTAAAATTGTTTTACAGGTCGTTAAAGAAATAGCTAGGCGTCGTTGCCTTTTAACATGGCCGTTGTACTGCGGTTATCAGTAACCGGAAGAGGATGCAGATGTGGCTTCATACCCTTCCGTTGTTTGTTAATGGCTTACGGAGGTGTACCACAGAACTTAATAAGGTTCAGTGCAATTTAACGCTAGATTAAGAGTGGGTCTGCGTCGGCTGTGTAGATGCGTGGTACTATCTTTCTTCTGCGTCTGACTGCTGGACATATCTACTGTCAGCGTAATTAATTCACAAAGTTAAGAAGAAGTATGTCACTTTTAAAGGCAGCGCTTTTGGAGAGAGGTTTAACTGTGCAGGATCTTCCGGACAATTTGTTTCTTGGAGACTGGGTGAGAATCAGTTCCGTATATATGATTTTATTTCCTGAAGTACTTTAAAATTAATAAAATAAAGATACTTTTTATTGTGTGGTTCAGTGGCTGATGTTGTGGCCGTAATGATGAAACTTAGAGTTTATAACGTGTAATTTCATAAGCAGCTGAATAACATCACGCACTTAAGGAAGATCTTGTACCATATAGTTAGTTACGTACATTTACAGATGAACGTCTAATCTCATCACCATAAACATGTATTTATAATAAATATTGTAAGGGGCCGTGTCTGTGGTCCCTCGACAAACAGAAACTTTGCATGGTATACAAGTCGGACAGAACTTATTTCCGACCCGTGCTTTCCTTAAGCTGTTTATCGTTAAGTTCTGCACTTGAGAATATAAATCTCTCATTAAAAAGGCAACTTATCGTGGTACATGTGGTCAATTTCTTTCAACCTGGAAATGCCTGTTTAACAGTTCCGGTATTTTTATTTGTAGGGCTCTATGTCTCTTAGAGGATTGTTTTATAACATGTTACGGAATTTAAAATAGAAAATGCTTTTTATATATATTTCATTCAGTTCTATAATAAAAGCTCCTTTTTGGGCAAAATTTGATTCCTGAGCCATGGTCAGGAATGCAACAAACATGAAGTTCGATATAGGACGGGGTTTCGAGAAACGCATTGCGTCTTAAAGGCGTCATCTGCATGTATATAGGTGGTGGAAAATTGTACACTGCATGAACAGTGTTATACAGCTGTCCCATTAGTCTGAAAGCATAGCCAGTGTTGGAATTTTGACACAGCTGTTGACGAAAGACACCTATTGCTCAATATATCCACCAGCTTCTGAAATTTATCGCCGACTGCGACCACCACACACTATAATTACTTCCACTTACACATCTTTACTCGGTGCCAGTAGTCAAAACCATAGATACCGTACTGAACTCAAAACTGTGACAAAGAGAAACCCTATATTGCCTATGGTTCCACTTTTATGGGATACTCTGTATAGAAGCACACATTGTAATAGAATACACACAATTGAATTTCACGAAACTAAATACGTAATGCTGTAAGCCTAATACGTGAAGAGACTCCAATGTATATGAATACATATGCATATGATGAACCCTGTTAGACGTTAAAATACTCTGCAGTCTTCCCGTTAGGAACACACACTTAGATCAGTAAATTCCTGCATCTCGAAAACATGCAAATAAAGATTAATTTTTCTGTCTCCTATTCTCGCTGTCGTTCTTCACGGAAACATTTCCTCCCCGGATATTAGCCAACGAATTGCCGGTTAGCCACATACCGCTGAAAGAGACTATTTTTAGCGACCCTGTTTCTCCATACTTCTTAATACTTGTTTCTCAGTCTACTTAATGCCACTTTCTTATTTGTAGATAAATTCTAAAGCCCGTCTGTTACCTGTGGCAAGTCTTTACAGGGAATGAGATGCAGATGATAAGTTTAGCGCCATTTTAATTACACGAACAGTATCACGTAACGAATATAAATTGTGAAGCTAATCATTGTGTACTTTTCTCTCTTTTGTTTACTACAATCAGGTATTATTGGCAGATGCCTCAAAAATGAATAGTTAAATAGATACATTGGTTTGTATATCGTTACCTACATCATTGTCTTTGGAGTTGTTTTATTTCATCAGTTGAAATGCAATTGTCAAAAGAGATATTCAGAAAATAACTAGACGATTCAGTTCTTTTATTTGTTGTGTCTGCTTACAGGAAGAAGATGGCTCCACATTCCGAGGGTTTATCCGAGTACACATGAATTTGTGTCGGCCAATCAGTGTTGTGGCTGGTACACGCCCACCTTCCATTTATGATATTCTTAAAGATGATGAAACTCTGGAGAAAACCCTTACATCTTTCTATCTACCACGTGATACAGTGAAGGCTCTTCATGTTACAAGGTACTTTGGGTTATTCATCTTCTTCTTCTATGGCTCTGGTCCGTATTCGGTCCATGGCCTCCTCAATTCTCCTCTGTCCGAGGCTTTGATCGAGGTTTCGAAACATCTTCATTTTTACGGTTCAAGGTTGTTAGCCTTGCAACCAACCCCCAACCTGGAGGACCAGGGTACCAACCAACCAACCAACCAAAAAGCTAACTGAGGGCGGAGGCCTGCGCAAGCGCAAGCATCGTCCCTACCTAGGTGACACCATTCCTGCGCTCAAGGCGCATTGCTGGAAATGGTAAACGGTCTTAATATAAAAAACGGAAATTTTGCTGACGCTAACTGGGTCCAGGGTACCTGTCGTAGTCTGACCTCTCCCCCTCAACCAATTTGGCTAGGGAGACCCTACCAGTAGCTATGCTACCGCCAGCATAGCTCTTGGGATCACTGTACCATTAAGTGAGGGGTTATTCATCTGTACTGTGCATTTGCGGACTTCTGTATCTATGTAAAGGTTAATTGTTGTAATCCAGCAAGTATTAACATATTACAACAAAATCGTTGTTCTTAGGCTCTAAGAAAAATGTTTGGATGCAGCGAAAATGAAGTTGCAGGAGAGTGGAGACAACTAAGTAACTAGGAGCTTAATGTATACTCTTCACTTAACATTGTTAGCATGGTTAAATCAAGAAGGATTAAGTGGGAAGGGCATATAACATGCATGGAAGAAAAGATAAATGTATAGAAAACTGCGAATGGAAATCCTCAGAGTAAGAGACCATTTGGTGAACTTTGTCATAGGTGGGAGAATAATATTAAAATAGGACTTCGAGAAATAGGTTGTGATGTAGGGTATAATGGTGTGAACTCAAATTAACTGTTTGTAGTTAGGGTCCATTGATAGGCCTTAAAACCTAAAATCAGTGCCATATATATAGTAAGTTGGTTGCTTGTTCTTATGTACTGATTGCTCAACCTTTCCATTACAAACCCTGATTGTATTCATTGCCTTAGTTGTCCTGAATTGATTGTTTCTTTCTTTTAGTGAAACAACCACACATGAAGTGATCAAAGCACTTCTAAAGAAATTCAAGGTGGTTGACAATCCCCGGAAATTTGCTTTGTATGAACGGCACTATGAACAAGGAGAAACTGCAAAAGGTGAGCAGCATTCCGAGGTTGCTACAAGATTTTAAATTTGTTATGAAATGTATTTCCACTCTATAATGATTAAAAATATATCTGTATTGTATGTATTTCTGGTATTTTTAATATCTCTATGTACATATGGAATCATATTTCAGCTCATTATGTGTCTCACAAATATATAAGTACGTAATAGTTTTGAAATATATTAATATTTCCATCTGTCTGCATGTAATGACAAGGATGACCACTGATTAAATATCATATTGTAATAATATGTCAGTCTTTAACTTGGTTCTTTGTCAAATATGGATTTATTACTCCCATGATAATTACAAATAATTATTCTCTATAAAACAGTTCTTTACAGTTATGGATTATAAATGTTGCTCATTCACTCTTCCACCTAGATTCTACTCTGACATTAAACATTCTGTTCTCATACACATACTGCTTCTGGTTGTTCGTCACGCAAATTTATTAAACTGCCTGTTCTTTTTGCCATCATGCTGTCAACTCATGACTCAGTCAATACTTGATTTACAACTGAACAAACGCAACCAACTTACTTGCTGATTTGTATAGTGGTCCTACTTGACTGAGACAGTTCGCAAATCTTCCACTGTTAGCTGAGAGAATTTTTGAATTTGCTGGAAGCAACCTACTGTGGGTGCAAAACTTCTTGCACAGGCCCAGGTGATGTAATGACAACTGGCTGATGCAGTCTGCAGCCTCCATAATGAATGTTTGCAAGAGTATTTTGTGTTCTGACTGAAATTTATTACTTAGTTGTAATTCTCATCTGAATTTGTAAATGTTTTTTATCATTTGACATGAAGGCCTTAAAATATTTACCACTGTCATAAACTGTTCACTAAAATTTGTAGCCCTTAATATTTTTATGTTAATTTAATTTTATTCATACAATGTTTTTTTTCTGTAGTGAGCGGATTTGAGGAATGTATTGGAGCACATTCACACTTCTGCTATTCGTTATATACTACTTTTTTAACTTACTCTTCACTCTAGTAAAGAGTGTGTGAAAATTGAAGGTTTCATCCTTCCATCTGTTTACATGTTTTCTTATCTCTAAAAGTACTCTGTGAAATTTAGTACTGAAAAAGTCCAAATTAATTCAGGATCCAGTTATTAATGATGGGAATCTTGTCAAAGTGTTGTAAAGATGCTGGGAATTTTTGACTCTTTATTAAAGACTGTGCACAGAAATGTTAATTAATAATGTAATGCAGAAGTAAACATTATAGAAATATCATAACATTTGCAAACAAGATAACTTACATTTGGCCCCTTGTCATTTATCATTTTGATTAAGATACTTCTTAAAGAGAACTTATTATGCAGTTGTTTGATATCTGAAACTGATTGCTAAATAATTTGTCATGGAAACAGTAGAAGTGAGATTAAATTTGTTTAGTTCCAAGAATAGACTAATATTTTTTCTGTTATTTTTCAGTCAAAATGCGTCGAATCGCTGAAAGTGAAAAGCCACTTGTTCTTGCACTTCGATGGAGTAGAGAAGAAAATTGCAACAAGATGTTTGTCCTTCAGGAAAATGAAACTGGTGACATATTGGTAATAGTTTTGCAGAATTTTACCCTTTTTTTCCTCAAGAACTGCTTGCTACATACATTCATAACAACATTTTATGGATTGTAAATGATAGCAAAAAACATTCACCAAATTTTAAAAGTACTGAACTGTGACTGCATAGACCACAACTTGCTAACATATTTTACTTCCACATAATGTTGAAAGTTCTTGTAGAATTATGTAGGTCTGTTATTTTTTTATTTCAAGTAATTGCAGTGGATTCCTTCATATTGTTATTTCAGTGGGAAGCATTTACTCTGCCAGAACTGAACAACTTTTTGCGCATCCTGGACCGGGAAGAAGAGGAGTACAAGAATATTGTGCGAAAGAAATATCAGTTTTTGGGAAGTAAAATTCAGGAAGCAATGGATAGACTGCAGTCAGTACAACAGCGGCACCGGGTCTCAAAGGTTCAAGGGGTTGGGGAAGGAAGTGGGGGCTCTTGAACATAGGCTGAAATACTTTTGCAATAGGATTTTCTTCTAGGCTGTTATCTACAAAGTAGGTAAATGTACCTACAAACACAATAGCTGACAAGCAATGTAACAATAGTGAGAAAATTTTAGTATTTTTAGCAAAGTGTAGGCAAGGGTACAAAGTCAGCAAATGTCAACATTTTATTATTTTGATATGACTAAGATGTAATGACCAATATTATTATACTGTGTTATATGTGGAAACTTTTCACATAAGAAGAAATTTTATATATATATTAGGAGAACATAATTTGTGCTGTTCATGTAATTTGTATTGCACACTCAAAGGCTAAAAGACTGGGTACTTTATTATTGTTACTGTGTTTGGAGAAACGCGACTTTTATTTAAAAGTGCGCACGTCTTGGAAATTTTGAAGCACCTGTTGATAATTTGTGTTCTTCCAGTGTATGTAGTAATCCTTTTTCCTTTGCTCACGTATAACATGTATGTTTGTTTACATCACTTAGATTTTGTTTCTTCAGGTTAGTGAAGTTCATTTGGATGTAATATAATTTCCCAATGCTTTTATATCTTTGAGTCACTGTTTGTGAAGGGAGAGTAGTTAGAAAAAATTTAATTGGGTTTTATTTTGTTAGCTTCCATTGTTGATAAATTCTTGTTGAAAACCAGATATAGTTTAGTAAGATGACTCATTAATAACAAAACTGTTGTCAATCGTGATACTTCCTAAAATTTGAATAGATGGTATGATTTAAATTCTTATTTACATACAAAATCCAGTTTTAACCATGTGATATCAAATTTATTTTTATTTCTTGTAGAACTAGGCCTTAAAATTCACTATAAGTTACGTTTATGTGTAAATTTTATTGGTTTGTGTGACCATTTGTGGTTGTCCATTGTTGTAACAATTTATTTTGCTTGTTGTAATTGTGTCAAGGTTTCATACAATTTGCATACTTTAAGAGATAAACCAGATTATGTGAATAACCAGAAAATAACAGGAAAATTCCTTCCCTGATTATTCACAATCCAAAATTAGTGAGATGAAATGAAGCGAATGGATTTGTTGTTTTTTGTTTCAGATCCTCTAACTCACTGTGAATAGTTTTGACATTTTCATTGTTTTGTATGTGAGATGAATGTATACTGGTCCTTCTTGTTTGTAAAAAAGTATTATTTTTTTAGGGAATGTAGACATTTGTACATTGTTAATCTATTTAGTGAATCATGTTATCTATATGGAGTTACATTAAATGGGATGTTGTGAAGGCTTTTTCCCTCAGATATACAATGCTGTTGAACAGATTAATCTATAATCAATGTTGACTTTTTTCCCCCATTGGTGTCAAGTACTAAAAGTTCCTATTGTGCATTCTTATCGTGGTTTCAAGTCATAAAATCAAGAGCACTGTGTTAAATTACTAGTAGTTTTATGAGAGAATATTTTGTGTCATTGTTTCAGCTGAGCATGCCTGCACCATGCAATGGGTTTCTGAAGGAAATACTGTGTTGTACCACATCTAAGACCCAATCTTACAGCATTGGCATGCATGATTTTATGTAGTGGCATAAATAACAGAAATACAAGGTAGGTCATTCTTGAATATGGGCCAATGCTGTAACTTAAAGACCCTCAGTGCTGTTCTAAAAGCAATATTTCATTTCTGTTTCTGTATAAATTTGAAAGGTAAGTTTAAAGGTCTAAAGTACTTGAAAGGCACTTTTTTATTTTGAAGGTTATCATTAAGTAATTGTATTTTAAAATATGCCATAATTAATTATACTCTTAAGTCTCACATTGTTGTCCATTGGCCTTGATAGCTGATGAGTAAGTAGTGCACAAATTAGGCTAGTGCCTTGAATATTGCCTAATAAAATGTTCCCTTTAGAAACGGTTTTAAATGGATGACTTTACATGTTCTCTGTTGTTAAATGACAAACTAGAAAGGAAAACTTCTCCGTAAGTGAACTGTTGTCAATTTTTTGATCATGAGTAATTCCTTGGACTCATCATTGCTAGATTTTAAAAAGTTTAGCATTTGTCTGAGTTTTCAGTGAAACCTGACTTCAGAAGCAATAATATAATATTGCTTATACAAGTTATAGGAAAGAACCAAAAGCTCAATAAATTTAGCCTTCTTGAAGATAAAAATCTTTTATTTTATGAATTTAGCGGTATAATGAGGGTAATTTTCCTTGTTACTGAGAGACAATTGGAACTTTATTTCATCTTCAGTCTGCAGAACTGGCAAATTTGGTTCTGTTCCCAGTTGTCATATCGTTTCCTCCCTCTCCTATATTCCTCTTATCTTCCCCTTTCAGATAATTTTTTATGTTGCTTGTAGCAATAAAACTGTTTACCACATATTACATTATCATCCTATTACATGCATTTCGATGTCTGAAGGATAGAAAACTCCATCATATAATGCAGCAATTTTTTATTTACTTACTGATATTAAGAGCGTACTCCGCAACAAGGAGTTCTGGCCAAAACTTACGAAACCCATTTTCCTTCTGCATAGACTCCCAGTGCTACAAATAATATTGGTTTGTTATTGTTATACTCATTTGCATAATGTAAGTTACCAGCATCTAACTTTCATCATTCTTTTGCTTTGATTGCAGGATGGATTTACCAAGTATTTCTGTTTCCTTTATTTATGGGTTAGTTAAGCAACAGAACAACACTGTGTCATTGATGTTCCATCTCCAACTCGTCTCCCTCTGTCATGGCTCTTATTGGCCAATCATCCAGCGCTGTCTGACCCAGTCCTCTATCTATCACTATATCATTTATCAACATCCTAACCACAGCCATTTATATTCTGAAGATGGGAGGAAGTATGTTCTTCCAGAATGTTAGTAGACCATTGCAAGACTATATACAATGCAACAATTCATATTCTTACCCAACTGTGTAATTTATATGAGTGATATTCCTTAATAATTCTTGCAGTCGGCTATATTGCCACTTTTATAAATAAGTGTGCAATAGACTCCTGATTACCCGGGAGCAGATTAACTGGGGTATATCTGGTTGAAATGAAAATTATAAATTAATTTAGAAAAATCTGTTTTAAAAGTTGGAACATTTAAAAAGAAAGGAATAAACAACATTGACATTATTCAACTTATTATCATAAGTCAATTGTCGCTAAGAACCTGAAGTTTTCGCAACCAACCCTGATAGTTGGGAGTCTACTGTAATGCAATAATGCGCTACTTCGATGGTGCAGCAATTCTTCCTTCCTTCTGACAGTTGATAGATTTGCAGACTTTTTATCTTCTCCTTTGGATCAGTTCTGCCAAAATCTGAGAGCACTTGGATACTTTCCGTTGTATCTCACCAAGTTGCTGGTAATTCCACACAGGTGTAATCAATTAGACCTACAATGTATATAAACATACTAAATAAGGGAAGTTAATGAAAAGGATATTGGCAAGGGTGTGGGAGTTTGTGGGGAGATGTATTTCAGACCAACATCAAAACATAAATAATCCAGTGATGAATAATTTACCAGTTGAAATCATATGTTTTAGTGTTCAGTATTTCTACTGGTATTGGGTAAAGGTGTCATCTAATCTTTGTGTGCACAAGAGACAATGGAAAGGTGCTCTCTTTTGGAGTACATTGTCTTTCTAAAAGTACCACATCATGGGAGATTGACACCAGCAACCAAAGGAGTAACAAATACCACAATCATACAAGGTACCTAATTATATATTAGGGCATTGTTGCATTAATGTGATCTGAAGTAATTGTTGAATAGCTATAACAAAATCAATAAGAATGAGAGTAGGAATGGCTATAACAATATGAATAATACAATAAAATAGCAATGATCTGTGGGCCCACTGTTTTTTTAAATGCAATAGACATACATACAAAGGTGGGCTTTTTAAGTATTCTTTGTCCAAATTAGAGCACAAACACTTAGAAAGCAGTAACAGTTTTGTTTATGGGTTAGGGGATAAGAATATAAAATAATAGTATGCACAGAAGTTGGTCGGTTTTTCCCATCGGTTGTCAGCGAGACTGATTAATATTGATTTAGTATGTCCCCAAAATGCTGACTCACAAAGGCTTGAACAGCTTTAGATTATTTATTTGCTTATATTTTGTACTGCTCTGAATGTAATCAGACCTGGG